AGAGAGAGAGAGAGAGCTTGAGTTGTGTTGTCTTGAAAATGAAGTTAAGTGTGACATAAATAGGCAATTTCAAGTGTGACATTTTAAGTGAGTTGATCAAGGCCTTTGATGCTCATCATCCATGGCTCATGAGAGGGTTTTGATCATAGTCACTCATCCGTGTCTAGCCATCAAGATCAAGGGATGGGATTTGCACACCCTTATCACTCCTTAAAAAAACTCTATATCTAGCCATTTTACCAAATTGTCCTTTATAGAGAATAATTTTCACAAATGCTATTTCTTGATCCAAAAGTGCCCATGGTGAATTTTGAAATTAAAGAAATAGTCAAAGTGTAGAGGGGAGGGGTGCCCCTCATGTAATTTGTAAAATATCTCCCATTCATCCAATGGGATGAAGCCATTTTGTAAGATTCATAGGGCTTAAGCCAATGAGGTGATGCCTCATAAAGAGCTACTTTAATAAATCATTTTCTCCATCAATTAGGGTTTAAACCAAAATTTCATGGCATGCCCAAATTCCTAGGCACATGTGAATGTGACCAAAAGTGTGCTAAATTGACATATGACTAAATATTCACTTAGAAAAACATAAATTTCATTTCAAACTTTATAAAACAATTTCAAAAATGCCAAAATAGGACCCCTCACTAGTGATGATGTCATGATGACATCAGCATGCTAGGGGGATGATGTGGGTGACACATCGTCACCCTATGGCCAGTTTGTCCTTGATTAGAATTTCTCAAACTAATTCAATAATGCTCATTTTATTGCTCCAGAAAAATTCCAAAAAATTCCAATTGTTTTTCAAAAAATCCCATTAACCATTTTCTATCATAAATACTCATTTTGGAATCAAAATAAAATAAAGAATTGGTAAATGAAATATCTAGGCTTGAAATCTAGGTTACTGGAGTACTCCACTGGGATAGTTTGAAATAATGGTCCATTAACTCAGAATTACCGAACAAGCAACAGGCCTTTCTCTAGTCTATGGCATGGGCATGTAATGTTTATCAAAGTCTCTCTAATCAATGTCCCATCATTTTTAGGTGTCAGTGGATTACAGGTGCACCCTTGGGGTAGAAATACTCATATATCTGAAGGAACATGTATAGTTAGATCACACATTAGAAGAGTGGCTTTCTATGCGATTGTGGATGCACATGCTATATGGTGGTCTTGTGTCAGGGTACGGACTCATGTCCTATAAGTCATGAGCATCCTATACAAGGCCATCACTCTTAAGGCACTCAAGTTCTAATATCTTTTTGATTCTCTTAGCCTTGGCGAACACATCATCCATGAGGCGTACAATCTAGGTATATCCCTGACTCAGAGGTGGCCCTCACACCTCTGTAAGCAATCTCTCTCTCTCTCACCGATGTTTCTCAATGCCTCATGTACTCGGGGTATATGATTCTAGGCCCCAGTGCACCAAGCACCTAGAATCATCTTCACCCCCTCACGCTCACTGATTGAGGATTCTTGGATGTAAGGTCTTGAAAGGGTCATAACTCCAACATCATGTAATTCTACTCAACCTATTTAATAAACATCGTTCTTATGCAAGCCGAGAAATTCATTTGCAAAATTATTACATTACATTATAATAGCTTTTCAAAATATTTCGCAAAAGAACATTCTAGACCGAAAGCTTTACATTGTTGCGTAGCTGATGAGCTTCATGGAGTACATTGATCTTCTCTAGCTACCAATCAGAGTACGATGCCAATGCTCTTCCTCTAATCATACTTTTATTTCGTTTTTAACCTAACTACTTTCTAGCTCCACCCTCAACACAACCGAACCAACAATGACATGGGAAGGCACACTAAATTAGCAGCATCAAGTCTCCATTTCCTAATATAGTCACAGGGTCTATGAGGGCAATGTGGGTCACTAAGTGACTGGCTTATTTCCTACTATGTAATTAGGAACATGGATCATCATCTACACCTCTATCTCTATAGTCATGGTGTTCTTGCTGTGCATGTGCGGCATGAGTTACATGTTGTAATGTAAATTATAGATGGTACTGCGATCTACGTGAGATTTACACCTTTCATGTCTTAGTTCGGTCATTGCCATGTGTCTGTTGCAACCAACGCACCCTATGGCTGCAGCCATGCACCTATCCTGAGCAACCCTGATGCTCACACCTGTTATATAGGCTACATGATTTGGTAGGACGATATACAGATATGAATCATGTCAGTTTCAATCATGAATTCTCATCTCGATGTCACATCGAGGCGATACTCATGCACTAGTGTGTGTCTTATGTCTTATTCTCCAATGTCCCTATCATTGAGGGTAGTCATGCTGTTCAAGAAGCAAACCTTTGTCTGCCGATGATTTGTTTCTTAATGAACACGCGTCCTAGTGTGCAAATGTGAATGTGCATCCAAACCATAAATCACTCATATAAATGAAAGGAAATGAAATGTGAAGGAGTTTGATAATAGTCTAGGTGCAAAAATAATCAACGAAATTTGAGTCCCATTCTCTTGACACAAGCCTTATACACTCTCTAGCTATAGGCTTAGTTGGGGGATCTGCTACCATCCTGCTTGTGGGAATATGTGTTGGGACTATCTCCTTTTTCTCTATGACATCTTTAATCATACTTGATTTCTATGTGCTTTGTTTTATTGTGATAATTTGAGTCCTTTGTGAAGCCAATGCTTCCGTGGTGTCACAAAAAATTGTCTCAGGCTCTCTAGCACTTGATACGACCGCTAGAGCTCTTAAGCCAAATGCCTTCTTGCGAGTACTCCACCTTTATAGTTGATAGTGCCACGCATGTTTGCTTCTTGTTACACCAGGAAATCTCTCTTTCCAGACCCAAAGTGAAGACATATCCAGATGTCGAATTGCACTCATCCAAGTTGTCTGCCCAATCAACATCACTGAATTCTTGCAACTTTAGATCATTTCCTTGAAAAATCAACTAGTATTTTGTGATTTACTAGACATATTAGAGTATTCCTCGGCGTAGCTCGCCAATGTTCTCGACCGGGATTGCTTTGGTAGTGACTTACATGCCCTACAACATAAGACATGGTCTTGTGCATAACATGGCATACATGAGACTGCCTATTGCACTCGGATAGGGTACACTCGACATCTTTTTGTTCTTTTTTTTTGGGGCCCTTAGGGCAAAGAGTTAGACAAAGTACATGACCCTTCTATGCATTTACTCATATTCAATAGTTTTAATATTTCAATAGTTTTAATATTTTCTTTATGTAATTCTCTTGGATAAACTTAGGAACATCTTAGAACGATCCTGTTTGATCTTAACACCGAGCACATAATTCATCTGATCCATGTCTTTCATGTCAAAATTGGGGAACAACCACTCCTTAGTGGCGTCGATCATCTCCTTGTTATTACCTGCTATTAAGATGCCGTCGATAGTACAACGACAAGATCATATGGCGTATAAAGTATACTCACGATCTTGCTTAATCATTGAGAATCCATACGAGCTTATAGCCCTATGAAATTTCATGTCCCATGGTTTAGAGGATTGCTTAAGTCCATAAATTGGCTTGATAGGTTTATATGCTTTATGTTCTTGCCCATGGATCTCATAACCCTTTAGTTGCTCCATATGTATCTAGTCCTCTAGATTCCGTTAAGGAACTCCGTCTTAAGGTACATTTGGTAGAGTTCCAAGGCCATATATGTTATGATAGCAAGTATGAGTTGAGACTATCTCAGTACTAGGGAGAATGTCTCATAAAGCATATAAACCTATGGTGGCGAAAGGGCAAGAACACAAATGGGACCACAAATGTCTGAGTGGATAAATTCTTGAGGTTCTTTGATCTTTGAACTTAAGGAAATGTTTTTCTAGTCGATTTTCCTATTCATGAGGTCTACACATGGGTAAGTTTACTTTGGTCAACAATCCTAAAAGCCCTTTTTTAATTAATGTTGCTATCCTATATTTATTGATATGGAAAAATCATGCATCCCATAACATGGAAGTAAAAGCATCATAAGGCACAATAGAGAAAGAAGGAGAACGAGAAAGAGGGGATGCATCAACAAAAAAAGGAGAATAACAAAGAGGCTCTTCTAAATCGAAAGTAAATAGGCCATCATAAAGAACACCACCAAAAGTAGAACAATCCTTCTGAAGTGAGTTTGGGTGATGAGAGTAGGCTTCTTCTCATCCTAGGAGTATAGAGCATGTCATAGAGAAACATGGTTCGACCAGATCGAAATCGTACCTTTGGCAACATTATTTCTCATGAAGATCTCCATGCATCCCACTGGAACTCGGTGAAGCCAGCAAAGGCTCACAGCTAGTAATCAACATCTGGTCGAAATTTTTAGAGTTGGCTTTTTTTATCCTCGTCATCAAGTGAGTGTTTGCATTTCTGATGCAAAATCTCACAACAAGAGGCAAGCTAATTGTAACCATTGTCCAAAACGACATACAATTTAGATTTCCTACATTTTACCAGCTTCAATGGCATACAAGTAGTATAAAAGAACATGATTATAGTTTTAGGGCCAAAGCATGGGTCCTATGAGCGCTATCAAGAAAGGGTATCTTGCTAGTTGCATTCTATTTTGTGAGCTACTCCAATAAAATATATAATATGTCGAAAGCACACACTCATATGCAAAGTTATTCGGAATGTTAGGGTCTAATTTTCCTTCTCTGAGGCTGTATACTGTTACTGTGCAACGGTGCCTGTAAATTTAATTGTTCATTGATGTGATTGTGGCTCTTAATAGTTTTTTGGAAGGTTCTCCCCTTATGGGTGGAAGGACTTCCAAAGAATGATGGACTTTGTTTGTGGCATTGAGTTGAGATGGGAACAATAGGATTAGCATAGGTATTTTAGAAAAATCTTGGGATAGATATCGAAGCCAAATAATTTTGATAGGCATATAGACTATATAAGAGTCATTCCAAGATAGGGAATCTTGGAAGGGGCCATTTATATGGAGGGGGTTTGTAGAGAGGGAGAATACAATAACTCGAACTTTTTTTAAGAGCATCACATGCTTCTTTCTCCTCTTTCCCACCATTTTATTTTCTCTACTTTCCAGTTTAAGTTTTTCTCTAGAAAACTAAGTATTTCCTACATCCCTTTCTGAGAACTCTTACACTATCTCCATCCGAGGGCTCGAGGATTTGAGCCGTGTATTGCACTTTAAGTTCTAGATTTGTTGGCATCAAACTTTTCACCAAAGGGAATCATGCTCAATAGGAACAAAAGGAACTACATCAACCGTAAGAGTATAATCATGTTCAAAACGATGTATGACTCTATTTATCCTTTAATTTTGTGTTTCCACTACGTTTAGGGCGTTTGACATGTGGAGTTTTTGGGAGTGGAAGGAATCTTCTCCATAAATTATGGAAGACTGCTCTTCCATCATTTTTTATGGAAGGGAGATCTTCCAAAAATGAACTCATTTTAACACTAAAAAAAGCTGCATGGAAGGCTGCCCTTCCACTTTATAGCTTCCACACAATAATATCAAACATGGAAATAGGACATTTAACTCCTACTTTCAAAAACTCCCACTTATCAAACACGCCCTTAGTGTTTACAAATGATTCTTGCATTGGTATCTGAGCTATTAAAATAGAGTTGTCTCTTGGATCTGATAGCCTTTGTGGTTAGTGCATGAAAATGCAAAAATCTTAGTGTTTAGAAAGTTTGTTGGCTAGTTTTTGAAGAGTTTGTTGCCCTTTTTTCCCATTTTCTGTATTTTTTTGTCGCAAAAAGGCCCTTGCAAGCGTGGGATATGAACAGTGGGCGTGCGATGCATGCACGTGCACAATCTTCATGTGCGGGGTGTGCACGAGCTTGTCAAACGCTCCATGGTAGTCATGTGTGACATACCATTGTGCGTCCACACAGGCCAGTGGATCCCCACAGTCCGTGTGCTTTCGTGCAAAGTGTGCACCCATGTTGCACCCATGTTGGTCCCCCACGGTGGACTAGCGGGTGCATGACCACTTCATGGTCGCTTCAGGCAGCAACGGCCACATGCCATGTTGGGATGTGAGGAATGCACAACCACGCACGTATGGCACACGTGCGACATGTGTGCACATGCATTGGGATCCACCCGTTGCTCTCAAATGCATGTGTGGCACGTGCATAGGTTTTGCGGTTAGCTTTTCACATGTGCACATGCTGCGTATATTGGCACATGTGGCACAATGCACGTTCAAGGTCTGCATGTGGGGGCACATGGCCTGAAGCCAGCATGAATGGTGGTGCGGCTATGGTTGCACTGTTTGTGACCATGGGAATATAGCCTCGTACTTGACCTAGACTGGTCTGGCTCCTAGTTTCAGACTATTCGACTCACACTTAACAAGATCTTTTTATAACATCGGTAACTTGGTGGTGCAACATGATCTGGGTTGGGGCACCAAACCGACTCATCATGTTGTTTCCAAGTCTTGTAGATTGGGACCCTATGGGTTTGCAACGATTGTGTCAGAGATGGTTGCTCAATAGTAGTCCGGGTCTGGACTGACCTTTGGGACCCGGATTCGGATGGTCCGGTCAATGTCATTGAGATCTAGTCTTGTCTTTCTTGGGGTCCATACATGTTTCTGAGTAGAATTGTTACCATGTACTTGACTTGGACTGATGCAGCTCTTGGTTTTGGCCGATTTGATCCAAACGTGAAAAGCTTCTGTACAAAATGGTAACCAATTAGTATCAATCTGGCCAAGGTCTGGGCATCCAATAGTGAGACCCCTAATGTCAGGTTCGAGGACCCATTTGGGTTTGAGTTGAGCTGATTCATAGCCAACTTGTTTACTAGAGCATTTATTAGATTGGAGAACACTTCTCCTACATTCCTACGTTGAGGTTACAACAATACCCCAAGTCCGACCATTCTATTCGTTTGGAATCACCTAAAGTCCTGATCTAAATCAAATTGGTGAAATTTTTAATCGTCAATATGGTAATGTGTTTTCTTCTGGATCCATCCACATAATTAGTCAATATTGCTTTGTACACATTCAAATAAAAAAAGATTCCTACTAACATATTCACCAGCTTAATTGAAGTATGAAAGACATGAGTAGTCATGTATGAGATTACAACATTAAATATTCAACAGCCCTTGGCTTCTAGCAATAGAAACACTATCTTTATAAGAGATAGATTAACCACTATATGTGCATGACAACCCAAAAAATTGCTAAAAGTAATGTGCACCATTAACTAATTAAAAAAAATAAAAATGAAAAGCCATGTGATTTTGAAGTTTCTGTTACTTTTGATTCATATGGTGATTGATAATAATGTAATCACACGTTCGTAACGCAATCTATGTACTACACATACTAACTTCTTGGGATACGCTCGCGTGTCACCATCATCCAAGAAAGCAATCTTTTTAATTTTATTTTTTTTCTTGTTTAACCAATTTTTTTTTGCCATTTTAAAATTAGGGATTCTAAGAATAAGTTATCCTTCTACAATATGCTCCTAATAAAATAGTTTTTCTCAAGATAAGATGAATTGAGTTTTTCAAATTATAAGGATTCATGCAATTTTTTCATTAAAAAATGAATATGACACTTTCTTGATTTCTTGTTTTAATTATAAATTAATATTTCTTAAATATTTCAATTTAAAATATGATATTTTTTAAAATACTTTATAATTTCATTGGTTATGCATGTGCATGACACATGCTGTGGAATTGTCATAAACCTCTTGCACATGCTGTGGAATAGTAGTGTCATATTTCTATTTATTATTAACCAAAATATTGTAATTTGAACGGGGTATTTTACCTCTATTGGAGTTTGGTAAACTATGTATACTATTTTTCACCTGGTGGTGTTGATTATGGCACCCATGACATTGGTGCCAATATTTATTCTGATAAGTTTATGAGCCAGTCACATGACAGGCAGATTGTTAAAAAGGTGATTCATGGGTAATAATTTTTATTTTTTATTCTTTTTGAAGTATAGAGTATTGATTATTGAGCTTTGTAATGCGGACCCCTTTGGTACATGTCATTGTGGTCCAATTGTACATGACATATGCCCTTAGAGCTTAGATTTCGTCTAAGGTCCATGTGTAACTGGATATCAAGCGTGTGGGGTCATGATAGGGAGCGAACCCCTTCATACAATCCCCTATCCGAGCCAGCCTCTGAGTCTTATTCCTATGATCCAATATCTGAGTCAACATTCAAGCCACCTTTTCGCCATACATTTTCTGATCCATCCTGTGAGTGACCTTCCTGCCATCCAGATTCCAATCCATCCTCTGCATGTTTGTTAGTGGTGCAGACATGAGCAAATTGTTAGAGGTTGTGTAGATCATGGTCTTGCCAACCAAGAATTGGTGATTTAAGCAGAGGCACATGAACTGCTCCTAAAGAATTACCTTATGAGAATCCCACGGCTCGAGGGCAGCTATGCCCAACTACATTCTGGGAGCATACTGCAAGTGGTGTGAAATGCCGTGGTGTACTCTGGGTTATTTCCTTACTTTTAATTATGTTAGTTTTTTTTGAGCTTTGGTTTTGAGTGCTATAAATGTTTTGCCATGGTGAGCTGTGGGCAATTGGGTCATCGTAAGAGTAGACTTGTCTTGTATTTTATAATGCTGATAAACATATGTTGTGCATTGTGTTTTACTTTAGTTATAAATGTTTACATACATAAATCTGGTAATGGACATAAAAATCTACTATATCTTATGTTCTTCTCACTTATGTCTTCCTGCTTCCAGTTAATTATTAGCTTCAAATATTGAGACCTATGAATCTGTAATTATGTTGAGGTGTTCATAATACAGACAGCGGTCGTGTATGGACTGGGGAGCATGATCCCAGTTATATTTCGGTACCCGTCTCACTTATGATAGAATTGCGGTTCCTGTCATACTAGGATATCAATCCCTGGAGAACCATATCAAATATTAGCTGTAATGGGAATGCGATCTGGATGAATAGAGCACATTCCCTCATGTTAGGGAATTGCTGTCCCTATTGAACCTGCTCCGGAATCATGGGATCAGGATTTAGGAGTGGGTCTGTGACCTTAGTATGGTGATCCCCATAACTATCAGGTGATGTAATCTAACATTCACATGTGAAATGGTTTTGTAAACAAACCAGTGGTAGGGACAGATGACAAAGATCATGCATGGATAGAAATTACTCAATACATGCACATCTTTTCTTCTGGAAACCTTTCCGAGTCATTTTCCCATATTTGGGTATTGAATGAACCATCTGCCAGGAAAATATTGTACATGACACTAGGTAAGAATTATCCCCCGAATGGGAATAAGATATGTGGAAAGTTTAGGAACATAGAGTGGTTGATGTTTCCATGAAGTGTTGGGCTGGAGCGGTTAGATCCAATCTAGAAATATGGGACCCGTATGCTACATCTGTGGTATATTAGAACTAACTGGGTTTCAACTAGTGAAGGAGAAAATCACTCATCATGTGTTAGGTAACTCATAACTCTTGAGTCAATTAGCCTGATGAACTACCTGTTGACAGGGTTTATTGGGCTGGATTAACACTTCAGTGGAATCAGCATTTTAAGGAACATTGAGAATCAGAATGCGTGAGGTTTACTTGAACTGTGGGGCTGGGTCTAATTTATCTTCCCAGAAATATGTAGAGGTGATCCGTCTGCTACATTTGTGGGTATGTAGAAGTAACTGGCTTTCAACCAGCGAAGGAGAATTATCACTAGTCATGCATTTGGTAGCTTTTGAGTCAATTAGCCTGATGAACCACCTGTTGACAAGGCTTGTTGGGGAATCGATGCTTTAATGGAATCAGCATTAGAGCAAAGAGGTTTACCAGAAGAAGCTACAGTGGATTTGGATCCAGTCCATAGTTATAGGGATCTTGGTCAAGGGGTGGCGATCCCTTCTTGGAATCTCGATCCAGCGATCCCGGAGCCGAAGCCCGAGCAGTACTCGCTTCCTCCCATCAGGGGATCTTGATCCCTACCTATTGGAATCTCGTTTCCTAACTTAAAGAGATCTCGATCATTGACTGCAAAGTATCTTGATCCACTCCTCCAAATTCTCTACTTAATTGATGATTTGTATTATTTTATATTATTCCAAAGTTAATTATATTGATGGATATATTTCATATTTTTGTTTTCTTCTCTTCTTTTTCATTTAAAATCTGTAATTTATTATAAAAAATCTTTTCATGGATTTCATAATGCCCTTTGTATCATTTCATGCATTTATTGTATCTCACTGCAAATATTCTCTAAAATCTTTTCTTTGATTTTTAATTATTAATATTTTCAATTGATGATTTTTTTATATTATATTAGTCGAAAGTATGACAGTTTTCATTAATTTATTTAGTTTCTTAACTTTCATTTAAAGAATTCTGTCTCTATTAGAAAATATTTTCTTGGATTTCGTAACTCCCTTTATGTCTTTCATTTGTTAAATAGTCAATTTAAACTATCGAGAATAATTGTTTTCCTCCCAAAGTAGAAAGTGTTTTTTCCCTACTTGTGAATATCATTCATGATCGGTGCTGTGCCCCATGGAGCTTACATATGATTGCAGCTAATTGTCGGAGCAAGCTTTCCACTAGTACAGGGTCAATTTGCCATATTTTTTGTGAGGCCAATATGGTAGCCGATGCCATTGCTAAGAAAGTTTCTTTTAGTTCTGGGGCCACTATTTGGCGCTCGAGACCGCTGGATTGTATTTCCTTGCTTTTAGTTATAATTTGGTGCAACTGTCCTATTATAGGGTTGTAAACTAATGAGTTGTTACTTTCTTATTTTATATTAATTAAAAATGGGTAGGGGCCTTCTCGATCTCGCTACTTCAATTCCCAAAAAATACTTAAGGGGTCCTAAATCTTTGATAGCAAACACCTTGCTTAAATAAGCTTTAAGATCCTCAATGCCCTTCACATCATCCCCTGTCACAGCAATATCATCAACGTACACAATAAGGGAAGTAATTCCAGCAATATCCTTCTTCAGAAAGAGTTTATGATAAGCTTGATTCATTTTGAACCTAAATTTATCAATCTATAAATCACGTAGTGTGTGGCTGCCCCACCTCAAGGTAAGATGTTTGGGTGACAGCTCAAATGTATGCGAGTGTTGACAAAGATCTCGACCTGCATAATGTGATTGCCTTAGGGAATTGCACTAGAAATATGGACTTAAGATTTGAAGCTTGTAAAAAATATAAAAATTTAAATCGTTTCTCGCAAAATACTTCTCTCATATACCGGAGGGGATTGGTGCACACTTCCTGAATTGTGGGGATTTTAAATCCAAATCGATGGGGACAATGGTTCCAGTAATGTAGGAATCACGATTCCTATTTCGTCAGATCATGTTTGGGGTCGTGCGATTCTTGAAAGGTAGGAGACTCATTTCCAACATGATGGGATACTGATTCCTACAAATAGGAATCACGGTTCCTATTTTATTGGATTGCGATTCCGATTATTGAGAATTACTCTTGCAATGATTTTCATTGTACGAACGACGATCCCAATATTAAGAATCATTTGGCACCCGCGATTTCACGATTCCAATTCTTAAAGTGAAGTGAATCGGAATCAAAGACGTTTCCAACAACTATAAGTCACCCTATTTAAAATCGCTGAGTTGCTACTCCAATTCATAAACCCTTGTACTATTTTTCTTTTGGGAATAGGACTCGGAGATTGCCTTCCATAATTCCTTAGAGGTGTTGTAGTTCATAAAGGATCGACTTGTATTGGGCTGCATAGAAAATAGTTTGCTGTTCATAATAGCCTCATCTTCGGCCTCCCAGTTTGAATATTTAGCATCTTTCAGGTCGAGTTTTTCTACACGGCCAGCAATGTATCCCAATTTTTTCTTTCCACCCAAAAATAGTCTAATTGACCTGGCCCATTCTAAACAGTTGGTTCCATCAAACTTGACTGTGGTGATTTGGGGTCTAGATGACTCCATATTCGATGCTTGTAAAGACATTCTCTATTGTGGTCAAGATCTGGCTACACCCTTAGATCTTAATCAACAATCGAGGTCAAGTTACACCTTTTGTTCTTTTCAAATAAAATGTTTTACAGATCTGGTTACATCCTCAGATCAGATTACGCTCCCTTATTTCCTGAAAAAATCAAAAGACAACATAAACAATGTTCATTTGATTGGGGTATACAACCCTAATCCATCCAACAATAGGTTTTTGAATAAATACTTGATCAGCATCCAAAATCATAAAAAAACTCACCTCCATTTGCACAGGTATTACTGAAAAAAATTAGGATTTTAGGGCATGATGATGTCATCTAACCCAAAGGATGATGTTAGCCCTAAACACAGTTACTGTGCAGCTTTTTGAAGATTGGCCCCCTTTTTTCCCTCTTCTTACTCTGTTATCAAGTTGAAATTAAAGTAGAGAATAAAATAGTTTGGTCGGATTTAGAGAGAAAAAGAGAAGAAAGAAAATAAAAATGATGACGAAGGGAGAGAGAGAGATGTGTGAGAGAGAAAGAGGAAAAGAGAGTGGCATAGAGGTCCCTTGTGACCTCAACCTCTCTTATAACATTAGGTAACAACCCTAATTAAAACTTGTGGACAATACTGCCCTTATTTAGAGACATAAGACAAATAATGACTAAACAAAAGATAAATGACGATTATGTTCATCAAATATAATAAAGCTTATTCCTTTTATTTCCAACAGGGTTAAGCATATTGATAATGCTAAAAGATTGATTGCTAATTATGTTAATTTTAAAATATCACTTTTGATAAAATTGATAGGATAATATTTGCAAGTATAAACACATACATAGTTTAGGCAATTGGAATATTATGATTAGAAAGGGGTGTGAACTGTTAAAGTTACCAAGTTCTCCTTATTACTTATTCTGCAGTTTTGTCATTAGAGAGGGGATTGTTGATATTTTCACTAAAAGACAAAGGTAATTATGGAGTGAAGTTCCATGTACTTTATTATACAAATGCCCTTGTCTTTCAGTGAATATTTCAAATATTGCCTTCTTGAGATGACAAACATGGCCTTTGTCATTTAGTGCAAATATCATCATTACCCTTTCTAATGTTAAAAATACTCTTATTGAAAATAGGATTAAGAAAGGGGCAACTATAGTATAACACTTCACACCCTTTATACATGTAACCTTCAGAATTTCATGGGGCATATATATATATATATATATATATATATAGT